TTTTTTCTATCTAATGCCTCCTTGGACTTTAACATTTACCTTCAATGATTCTTCATCCAAACTTTGTCAGGTGCCTGGCTCTGCTTCTAATACTGAATTTAACACAATGAATTTATGCTTTCTTTCTCCTTTAGATAGTGAGCTATTTGAGGTTTGGGAGCTTAGCAGGTATCTATTGATAAATGAATTTTATTCTCTTAACAGGGACTGTAGCCAGCCCGTAGTGGATTGCTGGTTGCCTACTCAGCAACCATTTTCTTCTATCTGTCCTTCCTATCCAAATTTTGTTTACAAGTCAAGCACTTCTCTTGTGGAGCCATGAAATTGAGGAAAAGTTAATCCCACCCAAACTTCCTGCATAGATCTGAGTAGTCTAAAATAATCCCATTCCTGTCACTAAGGATTAGTTCAGAAATGACCATGTGATGCCTGTGAGGGAAATTTTTCTTAGAGGGTCCAAGGAAAACTTACCTCACTACTGAGAGAGTGAACTGCAAGATGGGCTAGTGGGCAAATCTTTACAAATCCACTGTCATTTCTGAAAAAGAAAGCAGTTGTTCCTGTGTGTCTGAATCCTTTGGGGGGTTTGATATAGATGTGTAGAGAAGTAGGGGAATCCCAAATTTGCAGACACCTACCAAAGGCATCTTTCATATCACATAGAACATTTTAGAGAATGAAACCAACATGGAGGAAAACAGCTTTGGGAGAGGGAGAGAGCTGACATTATCCTTTGTGTCCCTTGTGTCCCTTGCTCCTCTTTACTCTAGAATTTTTATGAGTAAGTGAGCCAATAAATCTCTCTCTCCTCTCTCTCTCCTCTCTCTCTCTTTCTCTCTCTCTCTCTCTCTCTCTCTCTCTCTCTCTCTCTTTTACACAAATACAACTCAGTGAGATTAATGTTTTGATTGGGGAATTCTGTCTAGGCAGCTGGAAACATGTTTAGAAGCAAGGAGGGCAGTTAGGGCATGGCCATTTCAGAAGGAAATTTAATTTGTGTTCTTCTTGGAGTGCAGGTGGTGGGGGGTTTGTTAGGGGTGAGATGATCCTGAGAGGTAAGCAGGCTTCTGGGTAATGAAGACTCCTTGGTGTTCACCTCTGTTATAAATTGCAACGGAAAGTTCAGGGCCTCACTGAAATTCTTAAAGATTTCTGTGAATCTTATGGCTGTTGGTAAATAGAATAAACTTACTTCATCAAAAATGAAAAACTTTCCTTTGAAAAACAAGGTTGAGAGAATCAAAAGATAACCCACATGCTGGGGTAAAACATTTGAAAATCAAATATCTGATAAAGGTCTTTAATCCAATATATCTAAAGAATAATACCCTATTTCCTAACAATTTGGACTACTTTAAGTTAGTCCATATATTCAAAGTATAATTTATTTTCTTTGTCTTGTTCGATAAAGGACTTTTTAAAACTTTTACTAGGCAAAAGTAGATTTACAGTTGTGAATACACGAAACAGTTTATTCTTCTATTATTTATTAATTACTGTATTATTTTATTTGTATTACAACTATAACCATACTCTTGCCAACCCCTATATATCTATGTATCTCTCTCATCATTGATGTTTCTATCTCTCTCTCCTTTCCACTCTAAAATCAATAAAAAATATTTTTTTAAAAGTTCATTAATGTATGTTATGGGGTACCCACTCAGGGATTGCATTTGTTTTTCTCTAAGACAAAAAAAAGAAAGAAAAATAATGTACACACCACTAGAATGTAAATTCCAGTAAAGCTGGGATATTGCCTTTCAGCACTGTATCCCCAGGGCTTCGAATTTTTTGCTTGTTAGATATTCAGAAGTGCTTACTAATGACAAACAGGTCAGAAATCACCTTTGAATCATGGAAGGAAACTTCCCTGGCTAGGACTATTTGGAACACTTAAGACTCAACAGGGACACTCTTAGAAAGGGTTGGAGGGCTAACAGCCAGCCACAGTCTCTGTTCAGGAAGGGCTGATGGACTATTCATTACAGCCAAGAAGTGGAAACAAAAAAAAGTCCCTTGGCTGATAAAGGGATAAAGAAAATGTGGTATCTATATATATAAAAAGCCAGGGACCGCGATGCCATAATGACCAGAACGACCGTTCGCTATGACGCCCTCTGTGGCCAGCGAACTGGCCCGATGGGGGAGGGGGCGGCCAGCCAACCCCCCTGCAGCCCTCCCCCCCGGCTGGCCCCACCCCAATCGGCCTACAGCCCCTCTGGCCGGCCCTACCCCTGATCAGCCCCCCAACCCCAATAGGGGGCAGAGCCTACTGGCCAACCTCCTGCAGCCCCTCCCCCTTGCCAGCCCCACCCCCAATGAGCCCCCACCACCCCGATTGACCCGCAGTCCCTCCCCCCAGCAAGTTCTGCCTCCGATCGCCCCCCCCCACACCAATCGGGGGTAGGGCTGGCTGGCCAACCTCCCACGGCCCCTCCCCCAGCTGCTGAGCCCTGATCAGCCCCCCAAACCCATTCAGGGGTGCGGCCGGCCAGCCCATCGCCCACAGCCCCTCCCCATGGTCAGCTCCACCCCCAATTGGCCCTCCCACCCCAATCGGGGGTGAGGCCTGCCAGCCAATTGCCCTTGGCCCCTTCCCCCAGCGGGTCTGGCCCTGACTGGGCCCTGATCAGGGTGGGCCGGCTGGCCAACCTGCCGTCTCCTCCTCCCAACAGGTCTGGCCCTGATCTGCCCCGATTGGGGCTGGGCCGGCAGGCACCCACCTGTGCACAAATTCATGCACTGGGCCTTTGGTAAACATATAGTGGAATACTATTCAGTCTTTAAAAAAGAATAAAGTCCTGCCATATAAGACAATATAAATGAACCTGGAGTACATTATGCTAAGTGAAGTAAGCCATTCACAGGACAAATTCAACATGATTTCACTTACAAAAGGAGGGAAAATGGAGGGGGGGGGTTTGCTATTCAACAGGTATAAAGTTTGTTATGCAAGATGAATAAGTTCTAGAAATCTGCCATGCAATGGTGTGCCTAAGGTATCAATACCATATTGTATACTTAAAATTTTGTCCAGGGTAGATCTGATGTTGTATTCAGGAGGAGGAGGAGGGGGAGGGGGAGGGAGAAGGGGGGGGAGGGAGGAAGGAGGTAGGAGGAGGGAGGAAGAAGAAGGGCTAATGGAACTCTGTGAGATTTGAGGGTTTAAGAGGAAAAACTGATCTCCAGGGTGAATTATAGGGAGGGAAGGCAGGTGATGGTTCTGTGTCTTTGAGGCACAGGTATGGGAATCAGCCCTGACCCAGCACTCCTGGGCCGATCAGCCCCCAAGAAGGTGGCTGTGTGTGACCTACGTGCCCAGCACTAAACACTTTGGCCCTCAGAGGCCAAGGACAGGGCTCTGGGAGGGCGATCTGGACTGAGGCACTCTCCAGGCAGCAGGGGAGCAACAACTTTCTTGGGGTAGTTTCCAGAACAATCTTCAACAGTGATATAGAGAGGCAGCAAGTGCAACTGCAGTGTGGACAGACTGAACTGGAATACGCGTTTGTGGTGTCTGCAAACCTGCTGATTCCATGCCCCACATTCACCTTCTGTGATCTGGAATTTTTTTGGCAACTCCAAGAGAAGGAAAGGTGGGGAAACCCACCATTGAAAGGCTGGTAATGGACTTTCTGCCAATAAGAAAGGTAAAGACTTGAGCAATTAGCTGGGAAAATAAACGGTATTTGACCATATTTGTTCCATGAGTTTGGGGAGCATGCTGCAAATAAAATGAGGGGAACATTCTATGCTGTTGAGTAGATGCTGCTTGGGCTGAGAGTCGGCAAGACTCTCAGGCTTTCACAGAAGAATGCCCGCTAATGAAGGCGAAAGGACAGAATTAGAAATTCATCACTGTAATTACTACTGATGTGGTGAAGGGCATAAATGAGCGGTCAGCGAGGACAAATGTGTTCTTTTGAGAAGAACGATCACAGGAATTTAAAAAAAGGAAGTGTCTACTTGGGGAAGGCACCCAAGTTAAATTTTAATAAGGGGAAGTAAACATTTGGCAAGTGATAATTTCAATCAGATCCTCGTTGGCGTCAATTATGAAGAAAAATAAATCTATGTTAAGTTAGATTTTCTATAGAATATAGGTGAGAGTTATTACATATTTTACAAAGTAGTGTGAATTGTCTTCATGATTAGTCTAGTCCAGCAATTTTCAAACAGTGTGCCACCAGTGTGCCCGCAAGCATTTTTAAAACATGCACTACCGGACTCCTGACTCGGGGCACTGAGCTCTTTTCCCTCAGGTTGCCAAATAAAAAACTGATGATAGCCAACACAATAGCTGTCTGGTGTGAATGAATAAAAATTATACCTACCTTTTTGTCAGATGGGCAAAACGTCTATTTTTTGTTATGCCACATAATTTTAGTAATTAACTTATGTGTGCCGTAAGATGAAAACGGTTGAAAATCACTGTCTAGTCAATTAAATCACTAATATCCCAACTACTATAATGCCTGAATTAACAAGTTCAAGAGTCTGATTTTCTGAAAAGAACAATCATCAGCTTCTTACTAAATTGCATTGTTGGAACATGAAAAACATGTTCTTAAAATTAATTTGTAGTCACTTTAACAGAGGAATATTACTACGAATACATGGGAATTTGAGTAAATTTTTTTTAAAGAAAACTATTAGTAACCTACACTGATGGATTCATGCGCCTATGTAATTTGAGATGCAGTTTTCCTCTTAGCGCTGATCACCTTTTATTAAAGTATTGACTTTCTGGTTGGTAAACAGGCAAAAGCTCTCTTTGAATTTTAAGAGAGAGCCTGGTTTTCCACATGTATGTAAATGGTTAGGCTGGTTTTTAGTTTATATTGGCTACATAACAAAATATCTTTTTCATTTTAATACATTTCTTTGGGCTGAAGACATTGAGAAGGTTTCACGATATCTGTGGATTGTGTAATTTATACAAAAGTTGTATATAAAACTCTGAAATATGCAAACATTGCAAAATACACTCTGACAGCTAATGCTCTGAAAACACTTTATTACACAAGTTACATTCAGATTCTGAAAATAGTGTTCTAACAGTGGAACCATCTAAAAATAAGACATCCCAAAAACACACCAACTGAAGAAGAAAATTTAAAAAAAGAATTTAAATAGAGACTTTTTTCTTTCCCTTGTTGCAATATAATGCTAGTGATTTTAAAAAAATAGGAGATTTAGCAGCTTTGTCATCAGGCTGAGAATGCTGAACAGGAAAGGCACCAAAGAAAGACATTGGCAATGGAAGCGCTATTGGGAAAATACTGTGTTCAAGCAGAGTGGGCTTATTTACATCTACAGAAAAGTCTCAGAAATGTAAATGAGCAAGCCTTCCATCATAAATTAGTAGTGTGATGGAAGAAGAGGGCTGTTTCTCTAGTCTATGCCCATATAGAAAGACCATGGCACTGTTATGTACTTGTAGGAAACTCCTCAACTAGAAACAGAGGCCAACTAAACCCAAATGAAGTAAATAAAATGTGTACAGTCCCACACAGACTTGTACAGTTTACAATTAAACACACAAAACTCTAACGTGCGAAAGGGAAAAGAATCGGGCATTCTTGGTACATCTCCTCAACCAGACCAAAGCCGGGCGCTCAGGAGGAGGGAGGGGCGGGTGGGGGCAGCGGTGCCGAATACTCCTCTTCCGATTCACTGCCGTCATCTTCATCTTTCTCTTGGTCACTGCCCTCGGTGCTTAGGCGGTCAAACCCTTTGCGACTGTAACCTTTACGGCTCGCAAAGAAATTTCCAAGGTTTAAGCCTCCACTTCCCTTCCCTGAAGAAAGCAAACAACACAGAATTGAGATGAAGGTCACACAAATGACTCTCAGTTTCCTTGTATAGTCTTACATGGTACAGCTGGAAGTTGGGGATGGGGAAGGGTAGATATCAGCAAAAGAGAAACAAAAAAAGATTGACATACAGAGACATGTATCCTACAAAGTCAGATGGGCACTACACACATTTATTGAAATACAGAAGGAAAAAACAAAGCTCCCCGCGGGCATGTGTTTCTGCAGGATTGTTTCAGATTCACTTTTCACCTCCTGCACTTTCTAGGCTCTGGGGAACTGGCGTCCCACAAGCAGCTCTGCATCTCAGTGAGCTTATGAAAAGGTCATCTTCAGATGACAGGCACTGACGTGCCCACAGGAGTGACAGAAAATTTACTGAAGACGAAGCCCGATAAAAGGCAAGGGATCATTAGATAATACAGAATGGCAAGGTGGAAAAGGAGACTGGGAAATTCACTGCCAGAGCCACACACTGGTTTATCGTTTGCATTCCGGTTCGATGCTGGGGGATGCCATGCTGCACAGGGGTTTCATTTCCAGAGAGGAAATACAAATTATCTCCTTGCTCTTTAAAAGACATGAGCTTGCTGACTTTGAACCAAATGTGAAGGATTTTAAAAGGTCACGGGCATACCTCTAAGTTTTCCCAGCACTCTTCCTGAACTTGACTCGAGTTTATGTTCAGAATCTGCTAGAAAAAGATGGCACATTTCAAAAGGAGCCCCGATCACCCTCCTCAATCCATGGGCTCAACTTTCAGTATAAATTCAGGAATTCATAAATAATTAACAAAGTCTGGCTCTGGCCTGTATGCAATTCCAAAGGGGAAAAGGTAATACAGTATTGTGATGCACAGAGGGCCACAGCTGGGTTCGATGCCTGCCTGCTCTCTCACAGGCTGTGCAATCTCAATAGACTACTTCTCTGAACTTCAGTTTTCTCCTCTGAGGAAAGAGGGATCAATGACACTCTCTACCCCCCTGTAAAGATTAGAGGCACCCTGCACGTAATATACGTAGAACAGTGGCCGGTAAGTATACAATAAGTGCTCAATAAATATTACTTTCCATGGGGACAAAATTAAATTGCCAGTAGTTTGTAAAAATCGGGAAGTTTTCATTATTACAATTTAGAAATATTTGTCTTAGGCTTTAGTCTTTTCTTGAAGAACAGTACACGTCCTGCCTGAGAGAGCGTGGGGCCCATGTACATCATTTCCCCTTTATATGAAAAGCAAAGGACCTGGAACCCTGAGCATTTTCAATCAGATGAGGTGACCCAAGTGTTCCCCATGGGGCTGCCCATCTCCATGAAAGATCAACTTTCTTCCTTTCTGGGGAGGCAGAATGCCAGCTGGTCTTCATTTTTCTGTTTCTCTGTACCTCCCTGCACTCTGTACCTTGGCTTCCACCTCCTTAAGAGTGGTGCCAGGGAAGCGGGGCTTGCGGCTCTCCTACGAAATCTCTAGCCAGGAATGGAGGCAGCATTGTAAAGAAAGCTAGCAGGCAGATAAGAGGAGAGGTAGCATAGTGGACGGGGAACGGAATAGGGAAGAATGGAAGAAGAATCTAATATGACTGTTAGAAAGCCAACACATTGGACTGTAAGTTCTACAAGGGTGCAGGACAGCCCTTAGCTGGTTTTCCACCCCCTGGGCCTACTACAGTGTCTGATATGGAGCTGATACACAAGGGTATGCTGAATGAACGGGGTCCTTTATGAGGGTTTCTAAAACCCTCATAGAGTGGATAAGATCGATCAAGACCAATGTTGAGAAAATGTGAAGTTGGTTCCCTTTTAGAATTAAATGTGCAATTAAAACTGCAATTTTCCTACAGAAAATGTGATTGCACAATAATTTCCTGTGGTTCAACCTGGGTGTCTGCCTTCCCCACATGCGTGTGCAGACTCAGCATTCTGTAACAGTGCCGTGGCAGGGGAGGCCACTTTCTTCACTCTCTGGCATTCCTTCATCCAGTGTAGTTTGCTTACCAATACCTGCCCAGTCCCCACATGCACCCGGTACTCCTGGTAATGATCACTGCACTTACCACCTTGCTAATCAATTTTGTGTGTCATCTTTTTTTTTAAAATGTCATCTCTCTTTTGTGTGTCATCTAGTCTGTAACCTCCATTTATTTCTTCCAACAAGTATGTATGGAAGCCTAGTGCTAGGAACTGTTATTTGTCCTGAGGATACACCAATAAACAAGTACACTTAGCCAGATTCTTGTTCTTTTGAAGCTACCACCTAACTCCATGAACACAACGACTAAGTTTCTTTATCTTTGCCCCTGCTGACTGAGTTCCCTACCCACAACAGGGGCTCAACAGAAGTGTTTTTGGGGAAGAGTTAACTGTTTTTGTGTAGGGCTTTACTGATTGCCTATGAAAAGTAAAAGAAAGTCCTAGAAAGACTCCCTTTCGCCACCTACTAAATTGAATCCTCTGTGTTTTGTTTCTGTGTCAGGGCTTTGCTGTGGGCACTGAATTCCTGCCATGGCCGCTCTGGCCTGGAATACAGTCAGATGCTGTCTCTTGATCAAATGCTGCCTCCCACCCCGATCCACGGACTCCTTCCCAGATGGAGCTGTAGATTCTTGTCTTAGGCCTGGGACCCAGCCAAGGGACTACTTCTGAGACACGAGAATCACAGGCTGCATTGTTTGTTTGTGTGGATGTCCTAAAAGGAACTCAGCTCCTGGGTTCTGTACTATGATAATAATTTGATAAAATGCTGACTCCAGTTTTGGAACCTGCCTCGTATGGTCAGGAAAGGTGGACTGATGGTCTATTTTATGACTATTTAAAAACTACCAGATGGTTTGTTATAGAAATAGTTGGTTTCCTGAGATAGCTGAGGTTTAAGACAAGTATCTTTTTTGACTTATGACTTTCATTACTTTATTACCCATGATTATTCTTTAATAAGCACTTACTAGGTTCCAGGTACTGAGATAAATGCTTTCTGTACATTATTTCATTTAATCCTCATACAACCTGAGTGAGTCTTTTATTCCAACTTTACAAATGAGGAAACTGTGGCCAAGAGAGATTAAGTAACTTGCCCAAGGTCAAGGAGCGAAGAGCAAGAGCCAGGACCAGCGGGTGGGGAGTAATACAACTCCCAAGTAACCGGCCCCGCTATTTTGAGAACTGAGCCTATTTCTAACAGCAGGGCTCTCCTCTGTCCTGACCCTGCAGCTCATTTACCCTGACTGCACTTAGCTATCCGGAGACATCAATTGGGCGTAAGCCAGTTGCTAAAAAGCAATATTAAAGGTTACATTTTAACCTAACCGTCCAAATATCCAAATTTCTGAGGCTCTAGATACATTTTCTACTGTGATACTAACTATAGACAATATTTGGAACATAGACAGTAACATCAAAAAAGGCAGAGAACACTTTAAAAAACACCACTGAAAAAAAATCACAATGGAACTTTGAGAATAAGGCCAAACACTTTGAAAAGTAGGCTCCAAGTTCAAGGGGCTCATTTTACTTGCCTCCAAAGGCCCTTGATTTTTTCCACCGAATAAACATGGCAATGGCCAGCAGGACAGCCACCGGAATAACCAGAAGGGTGGTAATGAGAACAACAGGCACTCCGGAGTCTGGCTCTTTGATCAGTTTCTGTTTCTCTTGTATCTTCTGCAATTCTGAGGAGGCGGGTTTGTTCTCCATTTTGGTTTCAACAACTGCCTCGGATTCTTCAGGGAGAGAAGAGTTCACAATATTCAACTGACCCAAAGATTCCAAAACCCTCCCACTGCCCCTACCCAGGCAAATCAACAACTGCTCGCAAAGAACTTGCTGAGTCCAGTGCAAGCGGGTTCATGCTTCAGTGTCTGAATCTATGAAGCTGGCAGCATGTATTATGATTAGTAACCACTGAATGGTTTTTCACCTTTAAATTGTTTTGTTTTGCTGTTGTTCTATGTTTTATTTCCTCTTAGCTGTAATTCCACAAAAAAAATATAACCTCCTTTTGCATCTTTTCAAAGATAAAATGAACAGGCAGCATGGTGTAAGGGATGGAATTGGTGTGCAGGCTGGAGTCAAGAGTATCCGGCCTCTGATTCCTGGTGCCTGTGCAACTAACAAGCTGTGTAACTTTGGGCAAGTTACTTAAATGATCTGGGCCTTCGCGACCTCATCTGTGAAACTGTGATGTAATATACCTCCTTTGTAAAGCCGCTGGGTACAAATGTTACCATAAAGAAGTTGCTTAATAAGATTTTGTGTCCTTGTATCTTTACGAATCTCCTTCATGTTCAATGAATGATTCGTACATTGTATGCATGCATTTATTCTAGGATTAAAACCTGGAAAGAGGAGGTGTGTCCTTTTCAGGGTCTTTTTTACAGTTCCCAGCAAACTGTAAGTGCACACATATGCACTGTATATCCTTTTGAGGTTGATGAAAAGAACATACAATCATTCTGTGATATTGGCAGGTTTTAGGTAGATATCAGACCTAAAGTACTATTTGGGAAATTGATACAATAACACTCTGTAAACTGATGCAGGGATCTTAATAATGTGATTTAAATGTGACATGAGCCTTGAGACACTTGCCCTCAAGAGGCACAGATGTACATTGGTATAAAAACCCTACTGTGCGAAGTCTAGAAGCTATAACCATGCTTGCCAAAATGTCCACAGTTTCAGGAACTTCAATTTCTTGCGATGCCCTTCTAACCTGTGATACAGAATGAATCATATGGCCGTATGGACATTCTGATAAAATGGCAGGGATAGGTGGTTTAACATTGTCAGGAAAATCTTTGGTTAACGTTTAATATATGTAGACACAGCTTGGTAGATAACTGGACACTTTTCCAAGGAAGCATTTCTCAAATTTCTTAAGACACTGTAAACACAAGTTATGAAATAGACCAATGGCAGGTCCCAGCCTTTTGCTTCAGTGTTCTGAGCCAGCCTCCTTCATGTCTCATTGATACCTATTGAGCACTTAAAGCTGTATCAGGCATGGTTCTCATTTAATCATCACACCAAGCCTATGAGTAGGCACTATTATTATCACTGTCTTACAGATGGCCTGTCATAGTCCTCATTTTCTTCCCTGCACTATGGTTAAGAGGAGACCATTATTTCTTTTCTTTTGTCAAATGAAGTGGCTCTCGAAACTTCAGTGGAGAGAAGGAAAGGGATTGGTTCATAAATCTAGATGGTTCAAATTTAACCTTTCTACGTCTCAGTTTCCACGAGGAATATAAATGTGACTTGTACTCTTCCTAACCACTGTTTTGCCTTCGTATTACTGTAGAAGAGGTATACAAGATGTTCAATATTCAAGCTTATTCTATATTGAAGCAGGAAAATACATAAAACAGACAACAGGATTTAAAAAAAATATAGGCCAAAGTTATAGGTTGGCAATCAAGAATTTGTTGTCTTGGAAGAAAGGTTTCTTTCTTTTTGAAGGTGGCTATAAACAGAAATTACTTAGCAATTTCTACCTATCATTAAGTATGGGTACCTACACCTACACCTACACCTAAGGTGAGGCTATATCAGCTCATATCTAGGTTCTTTCATAAGGCAGGACTAGGACTGGGCTACATTATGGATAAAGTAAGTGATAGCCTAAAATAATCAGTTTAGCATTCATAGAAAGTGTGCTGAGAATGAGGCAATAAACTTGCTAAAATGTAAGATACATTCATTGCACTTCTGAAATTCCTCACCCCTTCTGGGGCATTGAGTGTCATCATCTTTTATTGCGAAGTGGAGGAGGGGTAAAGACTATGCTTTTGGTGGGATATTGGCATATCTCTTTTATCCCTGGTAACTTTAGTTGAAAATTTAAATTCCTTTCCTGAGTTTCCTATCATCACAAATACTTTCGTCCCCGCAACTCCCTGAGAACACAACACTGGTTTTGAAACTCTGCTATGTGAACATCCACCGTTGGGATGAGTGTCATCAAAGGTGACTCGAATTTGGAAATTTACAATTAACATGTATGAACAAGTCTAGTAAGTTTGGGATGGTGTTTCTCCCTCTCTTTTGTAAGGAGTGGTTTAAGTTTAGCTTCTGGATTTTGGTAAAAGACAAACTCTGGAGATCTAGCATGATTTATATTCCTTTTTGAAATAAGAAAGTAATATTTTAAAAAAAAGGTTTAATGAATATCATATGGGTTCAAAAAAGAAAAGAACAACTTCATTTGAGTTTGGATATTCCTAACTATTAAAATGAGCCCGTCATGACAAGACACTTCAATAAAATTTACTATTTGAACTGCTGCATTCTGCCACGGACTGGGAGGTTTTCCCACCAATGACTCAGTGGGCACACTGAGGAGACACAAAATGAACTACAGGGATGAGCACAGTTCACCCCTCGCTGGTCAGTGTTGTTGGGCTGTTCTCAACAGTCCAACCAGTATGATCTAGTGCAGGGGTGGGCAAACTTTTTGACTCGAGGGCCACAATGGGTTCTTAAACTGGACCGGAGGGCCGGAACAAAAGCATGGATGGAGTGTTTGTGTGAACTAATATAAATTCAAAGTAAACATCATTACATAAAAGGGTATGGTCTTTTTTTTTTTTTTTTTTTTTTTTTTAGTTTTATTCATTTCAAACGGGCCGGATCCGGCCCACGGGCCGTAGTTTGCCCACGGCTGATCTAGTGTGTGTGTGTGTGTGTGTGTGTGTGTGTGTGTGTGTGATCTATTTAAACAGAGATGGTTTGAGGCCACTTTGAAATACCAGAGGATTCAGAGTAATCTACAACCCTCTCTAACCTATAGTTCTTGGAAGAATTTGAGTCAATTGGTAGTATTCATCTCTCCTCAGTGGTACAGAACTAGTGGTTAAGAGCCCAGGCTTTGGTGCCAAACAGACTTTAGTCAAAACCGAGTTTTGCCACTTACTATCATAGTAGTAATTCTTATCTTCACTTCCTAATATTTAAAATGGAGATATTGCAATGATCACATTGTTGGTGTAAGGATTAAACTTGATAATTCTGTATAGCCCATTGTTTGTGCTCCATAGATGATAGCTATTATTAAAATCATTCCCAACATATCTTTATTCCAGAGCAAACAGAACTTATCAATAATTCTATATATAATGATAAAAAACAGGGTCCTGGGAACTTCATCATTATATGTGTATGGTATGAATGCCACTCAGTAGTGTCACATAGGTAGAATCACTACAAATGCCAAACAATTGCTACTTATTTATTTTATAATATTATCTTACCCCTTTCAACCTTGAGCCGGCTATATTTTCTTATCTGCCTACATAAACTCCCTAAACTCCCTCTTGGTTCTTGCTTCTTTTCATCTCTTTCCACCTGCTTTCATGAGAAAGGAAAACAAGTAAACCTAGGGTTAAGTCTGAATATCTAGGTGAGGCATTTGTAAAGCAACTAATAATGGAATCATTTTGCTACTTAAACATTAGGAGCATCTCTAGTGAGTTCTTAACTATACACAATGATGCCCAAACCCTGTAGATAGTAGACAATGCACAAATATAAACTGATTCTACACAAGAGAGAAAATAACTTGACAGGGATTCCATAGGAACCAAGTGGTTGCTTACCAGCAGCTTAATCTTATCTACCCATTCTTGATAATATATACCAATGTTATGCTTATCTGTATATATGTATATGTATGCACACACACGCATACACACACACGCACACACACTCCTTATAGGGTGTAAGTCTCTTAAAGTCAGGCACAGTTTCATTTCCCTAAAACCTATTACAGTGACTTACACATAGATGGCCTTCAGTAAATGCTGGGGGGCTAAATTTTACTAAGATAGAAACTTGGGGAGCAGCTAATTTTCTCAGGCTCTTACAGTATTAACTCACCAAAGGTATTTTCCACTCCTTTAGGTTAGAGCCCCTTAGGAAAAGGCCTTTTCCAGTACACTGAACAGTAGTTTTCTGCTGATCTGAGGTTAACATACTTGTAAGTTACTAACTTATTTTTTTCCTCCCTGAATGTTTCTGGCCCATTTTTAAAAACAGATTTCTTAATCACTTTTCATCACCTGAAATGAGTGAATTTGAACTTATTATTACTACTCCATTTATTAGAAAAAGCGATGCCAATGTGTAGGTTTAAAGGTTCAGGACACAGCAGAAGTTATTGATAATTTAACAGATTCTATTTTTAGCTTGATAATATTTTAAGTGCAATCAAGAGCCATAAAATAATTCAACACAAATAGCCTTGGGATTCACAGTCAAAGAGGAACCTGACCAACCTTTGGTTTCCTGGACCTCAATGCCAGCCTTCTTAACTGACCGATGTTCCATTTCTGTAACACAGCAAAGAGACAGAGCATCATAATCCCCAAAAAGAACAATGTAAAACTTAATTTCGATATTAATTTTACTCAGTAGAAAATATTTCCTTAATTCATCAAATTCATTATCATATTAGAAAAGTTTAGTGCCAATCACTAATTAGGTGCCAGGTCTAGGAATCCTGGATAAAATCTTCTAGGGGAAGTTGAAATAATATTTCTAACGTCTTCACATTTAAAATGAGATTTTCCCTTTTGATTTCTGAAATAGCAAGTCGTTCTGTTTTCATGTGACATCTCGGAGGTAGCTAGTCCTGCCACGTCCATCAGTCTTCTAGCTGACGTATGTGGATGTGACTAGTTAAACACGAGCATGCAAATACAAAGACACTCGTTTGGCCCTGGATGACAGTCTTATTGTCCTAAAGGTACTATTTTCCTGGTTTGTTATTTGGTTACATTCTGGACTATGCAGAGAACTTTTCTGTTTCAAAGCTGAAAGCTATACTGCAGTGCTTGTCAATCAGGGGATACATCAGTATCACCTGGGAAACCTTTCTAAAATGCACACACTATCATTCCTCTTCTTTCTCTTGATCTCAAGTGGGGTGCGACCATGTGTATTTTGCAAAACCCTTCCCCAGTGACTCAGATATACATCTCTTTTGAGTACTAACCATGGGGATGGTATGAAGAGCCTAAACTGGAATCTTAATGAATTCAAGCAGCATATTCCTACCTGCTGAATGAAGATATTGGCTAGGTTTCTGAAAGTCTTTTCCACTTTAAAAGGTATTCATTCATTTCTTTATTCTGAAAAACCTGGGCTCAGACACGCAATTGGGAATTATCCATCTCTTTGCTTTCCTGTCTGCCCACACCTTCTGGTTCCTCTTGAGGAGGCAGGTGGTGGGAGCGGCACTTGCAAGGGGGATGGGAAGCGGCTGCTAGCGGGGAGCAGTCCTGGGCACCTCTGTGCACTCAGCCCTCACTGGGCCTTTATTACAAAACCAGCAAAGGTGACCCAAAGGATAATTCTCAAGACAGCAGTTAGCAAACCTACTTGGGGTCCAAGACCTGTATGGTACCTATTTTCTTTGTTATAACTTGTTTTTCCCCTTGTTATAATTTGCATTTTTCCCTGTTTAGTTAGCACTTCCTATCTCCATCAAGTCCATGTTTCCTTACTATTTCTCTAAAACTGCCTGCTGCAGCTCTGATACCACAAGCTTATCATTCTCAGTTCTTCTCCCTAATTCCATCTTCTCCTACTGTTTAGACCCTGCCATATTTTAAAAGGATTTCTGGACACTGAGGTTAGTGGCTTACTAAGCATCCCGTGCTCTTTAATTTAGAAAGCTTATGTTTTCTTAGGCTGATATCAGAGGCTAGGTTAGTATGCTTTCTAAGAATTAGAAATAAAGTCCAAATTGCAATCAGAACCCCCCACTCCATACTACCTTGATTGATCCTGATAGAAGAACCCTTCTGTCCCATACATACTTTGAGCTATATGAAAACACAGCAGTGCAGAATTTTGAGTAAGCCGAAGCCTAACGGAAAACGCAGAGCGCCTCCTATTTGGAATGATGTGTGTCTGACACTGATGCTGGCGTTCCTAGCTGCTCGGCAGCCACAGAGAGCTGAAGAGTCACTTGGGAAGTGATGCCTGTGTGGAAACTAGTCAGCCCATCTGCCTTGCCAAAGCCATCTCCCGCCCTCTGGAGAGGAGTTGGAATTAACACTGGCTTTCAGTGTAGCAGACATTACTTCAGGCATCAAGAATTTCCTGTGGAATATCTGTGGAAACGAGGGGATAACTGCCAGCAAAAAAACCTCTCTTTCCACTTAAATATTTAATTTAATTCCTGAAATGAATACCAAACAGGTATTTTAGCAACTACCACTTATACCTTGATTTCCCGCTCCTATCAATAAAAAGAGAAAGAAATGCATTTTTTCACATGTTTTTTTAAGCAATAAAACTGAGGGGAAAATATGCACCATAATATTGTAAAAACCATACTTTCAGTTGTGATGAACTTCCACACGGTATTGGTGTGAGCGTCTCCAACGTACACAGTCCCGTCTTCAGAGGCAGCAATATCATGAGGCATGTCAAAGTGCTGCCCAAACAAGAAGCACACGTTAGGGTGGCGAGCCCGTACTTGAATTCTCCATAAACAGGCAAAGAAACCACCCAACAAAACAATGAGCATATTACTCAAACCAAAAAAAAAAACAAAAAAAAACCAAAACAAACAAAAAAACCCACACCAAAAAACCAAAACCAATAATTCCCATCACAGCAACTCTAGGCCAAAGAGAGTCATTCATTCATTCTCTGGGCACTGACTCTGCCAGGCACACCTCTATACATTAGGAAACACTAAGAGACCCTTACCACTGACTTTCTAGTCTTTAAAAGAGTTAACCTTTACAAGTAGAACTTCTTTTTACAGTGTTCATTACTTGGTGTTGCAATATCTACCCATTTATATTTATTTTACTAACTACCAAATTTGCCTGTTTAAATCTATACAAGTCAAAAAGACCAGGTATTAAATTTTGGCTATTATCCCATCAAATTATCATGTGCTGCCTTAAAAACTAGTTATACATCACTGATTAGAGAAGTCATTTCAAAGATTCAGTAATTCAGATTCTTTCTTTTTAAGTATGTTCTTACTGATTTTTTGAGAGAGAGAGGAGGAGGAGGGAAGAGGGAGAGGGAGGGAGGGAGGGAGGGAAGAAGAGAGAGAGAGAGAGAGAGAGAGAGAGAGAGAGAGAGAGAGAGAGAGAGAGATATCAGCGGCCTCCTGTAAGCCTCCTACTGGGGATTGAGCCTGAAACCAGGGCATTTGCCCAGACCAGGAATTGAACCAGTACCTTTTGGTGCATGGGATGATGCTCAACAAACTGAATCACACTAGCCAGGGTGAGATCTAAAATGTATACCAGGAGAGAGGCAACAGTGTAGGGTTTTATACTCTGAAGCCCAGTGTTTACAATATCTTCAGTCAACAAAGGAGTGTTGAGTGTTACCTCCAGTACTTTCTCAGCTTTGGTATCTACTTAGCTACTCGGCGTTTCACTATGTCTTTCTTCATGACATATGTCCATTTCAATGGTCACCATCTCAGTCCAGGACACAGGAGACAGGGGAGCACTTTGTAAAAACCACACTTGCAGTTGGACCCAGGGTCACCACCTGGTTCCTGGAAGAGCAGCCTTAAAATGCTGTGCGGCTGCCATTTCCATCTGCCCGCTGAGGCCTGTGAAGGTGCCATGTGGCTGCCAGTTGGCAGGACGTGGGAGGTGCTTTTGCCTTTGGGGCCAGCCAGGCCTGCCTGAGGACACAGCTCTCAAATACAGGCCCGTGAGTACGAACAGGAGCATTATCCCGCCAGTGGGCTTATCAATCAGCATCTGTCCACTTTAGGTTGCTGAGTCCAAGGGCACTAATGAGGCAAATTGCAGTGCTCAGTTCACTTTAGGACAGAATACACGCTTTGGAGATACTATTGTGCTTTAAAATTCAGCAACAATTTGTCACAATGAAAAGAAAAATGAGACGGCAGTGCCAAGAAGGCTCAATCCTTCATGCTACCAAATGAGCTGTGACAAATGTGCATGAGAAGGACAGAGAGCCAGAAATCAAAATGCTGCCTTGCAAGCCTGTCATTAAATGTTCATCTTTATTTTGGGTTCAGCTAATGGGTGGCAACCGACTTGCAAATTATAGGCAGTTCCTCTTCTATACCAAAATGTGTTCTTAAAAAAATGGCTTTGCAAAACATATGGTTGTAAAGTGCTCCATATTTTCTGGTAGAAACTATTATAATGGGGGGGGGGATGAAGATGAGGGGGGATGTGTGAACTATTCATCACTAAATCACACAGTATGTCATCAGTTCAAGGCAACAATAACAATAAGCCTCTATCTGTGGTTCTCACACTGACACAGGGAGCCAAGGGTTCTGTTAGAAATACTTTGGGGCCACAGGAGGAGTTCAGGGGAGGCGCAGGGGGTGGGGCCTTGGGATCTATATTACTACTGCAATCAGAAGCACTCAGGTGCTTTTTACAGAACTAGTCTATTGTTCTGCATCATTTGAAAGAGAAAATTATGTTGTAAGCATTTGGATTTCAGAGTTTAAGAGATTCAAAGATCTTCTGACTTAGGCTTTGTAAACTCTTTCTTTTGAGGTTCTCCTCCCCAGCAGGAGGAGAAATTGAGTAAGGTTTTTCTTTCAAATTTGCCTGAAAGAAACAGGCAAATTTGGTAGATAGGAAAATAAATATAAATGGGTAGATATTGCAACACCAAGTAATGAACACTGTAAAAGTAATGAGTCACCGTATATGGATCAGCACAGCATTCAATATCTAAGGTCTTCACATTTAAAATGAGATTTTCCCTTTTGATTTCTGAAATAGCAAGTCGTTCTGTTTTCATGTGACATCTCGGAGGCAGCTAGTCCTGTATTCAGTGTTGATTGCCTTTGGATATAGATTGATCCAAATTGATTGATTGATTTGGATATAGATTTATCCAGACTATTGCAAAAAGCGTGTATTCTGTCCTAAAGTGAACTGAGCACTGCAATTTGCCTCATTAGTCCCCTTGGACTCAGCAACCTAAAGTGGACAGATGCTGATTGATAAGCCCACTGGCGGGATAATGCTCCTGTTCATACAGTGAAGAACTGAGAATGATAAGCTTGTGGTATCAGAGCTACAGCAGGCAGTTTTAGACAGAAATAGTAAGGAAACATGGACTTGATGGAGATAGGCAATGCTAATTGGTTACATTCTGGACTATGCAGAGAACTTTAAATGAACCTACTCATGATATTGCTGCCTCTGGGCCGCCTGGTGACAAAGCCCAGGACAACCTGCGCCCTCAACATGTGTTATTCTGCCTTAAATACTCATAAGGAATCTGTGTTCTCTGTAACATTAACTTGTTTGCTATAACACAAATCATATTGAAACTTCCTTAAGATTAAGTAAAACAATTCTCTAAGAAGTTGCACCAAGTTCATGTTGAGGTTGAAAACATCCCTTGGCAGACGCATGTGTGCCTAAGGGGAGTAGGAGGTGAATCACAGTCCCAAAGACCTGGGTTTGAGATTCAGGTGTGCTTCTTACTGTGTAGCTTTGGGTAAGTAATTTAACCGATGGGATCCTTTTAGCTCAAATATTATTAAATATTATAATTTTAATCTCTATCATTAAGCTCAGAGAAATAACACAAGTCTGGGCCTACTGGAGTTTTTTGTCATTATTGTTGGTGTTTTGCAAGCAGGGGTGGGGATCACTTCCCTCCTTTTCCACATGGGCTGCCTTGCAGAAGAGAGAAGGAAAAAAAAAAGACAGCCTGAAGGGTGTGTGTGAAAGCAGACAATAATCCTCTGATTATTGGGGGCTGGGGGAGGTAGAATTTGGGGGACAACTACGTGCCTTGCCCTCATAGCTTTTTGACACCATTTGACAGAACCGTCTTCTATATTGTCCTCTGTCTCAGCTTCCCTGCACAGACATAAAGATGAAGATGAAACACTGGAGACAAAAACTTCTCTAAAGAATGTAATAGTAGAAGAGGGAAAATCGAAACACACGAGGAGGTAAGTAGTGGATGGGCACACACAGAGGCGCACACACATTACATAAAACTTGACTTCTGACTTGAAGGAAGAATATCTTCTTATATAGGAATCAATACACCTCATTATTTCCTTCACCCACACTTAATCTTTGTGATGATAACCTAATGACATGACAATTCAGAGGTTCATGAAATGATTTTTCAGTTTACTGAGTCAACACAGAACCAAGTTCTATATTCTGGTGTAATATCAAGTCTTGTTTATTGAAAGAAAAAGCAAATTTCACCTTGGAGTTAGACTCTCTTTTCAGGTTTGCTGTGCTGATCCATATACGGTGACTCATTCATCACCGAATGTCTGATGAATGCTGGTATTTGGGCACAATGCTTTCTGAAATTTTAATTCAGGGCTGTTCACATTTTTGTGAGAGTAAGGTTCATTTAGAATCTAACCTCTTGCTTAGCATTTAGCTTTGATTTCTAGATGCATATTTGAATTAAAAGTTAATAGCTGGTCAATACAGAAAAATCAAGGCAGACTATTGCAAAATGAAGACCTAAAAGAAAGTTAATCTTCTCACTTTATTAATAGATAAGAGGAAGTTAGCTCAAGTGGGAAAACGATGAAGATGAAATAATCAATAAGAATCTGAAACACCAATGAAATAAAATGTTATCAATGTAATTAATTTCCTTCTGAAGAGCTACTCTGATTTGATATTTGATTACTTACTGCTTTTCAGGTGAAATACTTCTGTGAAAACTTTCATTTATTATATATGAACTAGAGGCCTGGTGCCTGAAATTTGTGCACAGGTAGGGTCCCTAGGCCTGGCCGGTGATCAGGGCCTATCTGTGGGGCGACCAGTGGGGCAATTGGAGGGCCCCCACTGGCACCCGCCTTGGCTGGCCTTGGGCCTGAGGGCTGGGGGCAGCTCCTACGCTGAGCATCTTCCCCCTGGTGGTGAGTGCGTATCATAGTGACTGGTCGTTCCACCCGTCATTCCACTGTTCAGTCGATTTGCATATTAGGCTTTTATTATATAGGACAGAAACCCACACAGGGAACTTGTACTGGAATCTTTAATTCAGATTCAGTTTGCTTCCAATCAGATTCTGTAGCTCTTGTTAAAACTCCATTTGAGTGAGAGGGCATGTCCTGTTTTGTTCATCATCATATCCTTAGGGTATAGGACAATGCCTAACACAGAGTAGGCACTGAATAAATATCTCAAGAATGAATTCTGATAAACCCCAGACCAGCTGTCAATATTCTAACAGGCACATTTCTAAAATATTGCGGCATTTTAAAGTATTTTTTTAATCTAGCAAAGTTGATATCTTAAAGAATACTATAAGCATTATGTGTATGGAGATGCAATTTGCCTGGTAGTTTATGATACCTATATTTTGATCCAAATAAGCCCAATAAATCTTTACATCTTTTAAAAAATAAAATCTTTACATGTTTTAAAAATCCAGCCTGCAATATTTTAGCAGGCTGAATTTTCTAAAATTGAGGTACCACAAGTATATTCAGGCAGTGTGTGTGAACATTCTGATCATTCTGGTCATATGCAGAGAAAGCAAATTGAGAAGATAGTGGGCACACTGGGCCACAGTTCCCGTGTTTGTAAAAGACACTGTTAGAGTAAATAGTGGTAAACTATTTGTGAAGCCAAAACTAGCCTTTTGTCTCTTATGTAGGCCAAGTCTTTAGGACTTGAATAAATTCCAGAAACTATTATTTTCAAGTCTTGTTGCTCAGTGTAGTCATAGTATTAAAAAAGCAAACAAGATTTCTGTTGGATCTAAGATAACTATAAAAGTACAGTTTAACATACTGTGGTATCTTCTCTACTAGGAAGAAAGCCTAATTTTTTTGGTATTCTAATTACAGTGAATTTAAACCTGCCACTGTATGTAGAGTTTACTAACAACCTTAATACTACATTCAGTGTCAATTTGCAGCTGAAGAAATTGATCAGAACACAGGACATTTATTCTAAATAAAACATTGTTTTGGAATGTGCCCAACCTACCTAAGAAAGTGATTACATCTCCTTCAAGCTTTTAAAAGATTATTCAAGTATCAATTGAATGGTAGGGTTTGCATTTTAATTTTCTCACATAAAAATTAATTTTCTCTCATTATGAATACCTTGCGCACTGGCTTGAAGATGTCTATAATTTCCCCACTGGAAAAGTTCATCACAAATCCTTGTACTGGTTCTTGGTCCCCAAAGTGAGGCTTCCCATTCACCACAAAGAGCAAACCTGTGACAAGATATTCCATTAACTGTTCTTTAAAATATGAGTAAGACTGGCCTTCAAAGACATGCATGTACATTTACACAAACAAATACTGGGTCAATCTGGTCCCTACAACTGGTAACCAAAGTATAAAATAAAATACTTAGCAAATGTCTCCTTCTGAGTAATAATAAGATCAGGTTATGAGAATAACCTCCTTGTAATAGGAAAATCAGAAAAAGCTAGGCCTGTTCCACATAGGAAGTCAGTAGAAATAAGGAATACATAGATGATATATTTAGATATAGATATAAATATAGATATTGATATAGAGATAGATGTAGATGTAGATATATGACATAAAAATATATTCTACATAAACTGGAGGCTGCTTGGGAAGACAGTAGCCATAAAAATATAGGTATAGACACATATATACATATCACAGGCATCCTAAATAGGTGTTGGGAAGAGTCAGGTTATTTAAGCAAATCATTTTAGAGTATCAGATCTTTAAAAAATTATGTAATATCTGCTATAGTTAAGAGAGGAATTAAAGGAAAATATGCTAAGAAAGTAAGTTATAGTATAGGGAGAAGAATGGTTTGAAAATGTGAGATGCGGCTTGAAACCAAGTTGGCGGCATAGGTAAACACCGGAAAGTGCTGCCTCCCACAACAACTTCAAAAATACAACGAAAAGACAAAACTACAGGAAGGCTGGCTGAGTGGAAATTCTACAACTAGAAGGAAAGAGAAAAGCACACTGAGACTCAGAGGAGCTGCGGAAGTAAAGTGCAGAGGTACGGAGGCTTGAGCGCACGTGGAAAGGGGCTGGCACCTGAGGACGCAGCTGTCTTTTTGAATCGACTGCTCTGAACTCCAGTTCCGAGAAGTCTCTGGGGACCCAGGACTCATACGGGGAGAAAATGGACTGTCTGGCAGCAGGCTGAATTCGGAACTTGAGCGTGGCTTTCCCTCAGAGGTGCTTGCAGCAATTACTGGGACACTGAGACGCGGGGCCCCTTAGGGCAGGGCTGAGGATCAGCCATAGCTGCTTGCCCCGCCCTGTTGATTCCCTGAGACCCCGCCCCACCCAGGCTTGGCAGAGGCTTTTGCATATGAATACCCTGGCCCTTTGCAATCTGAAAATTAACTAACAAATTACAGCTGGGCCAGACAGACCCAGAACTTCCAAGAGAAGGCCCAAGGCCCCACAGCAGCTTGCATTGCTTCACAGCTGGGCCTCATCTGGGCATCTCCAAACCCCCCAAAAAGGAAGGGGAATCTGCAGATCTCTTCGAAGCTCCTGCTGGGTAGCCTCAGGCAGAGTCGAAATTAGCACCTCCTTAGATCCAAGAGCCAGTGTACCCAGTGGTCAGAGTGGGACCATCCAGATTACAACTCCTCAGATCCATAAGGGACACACTCAGGGGGCAGACTCAGTGAGCACCAAAGCCCCACTGAAGCAAGTCTTGCCCCAGAAGGATGTCTTTAGCACAGAAGTTCTCCCACTGCAGACACAGCTGATTCTCATAGCCAATTGGCCTGGAGGTCAATTCCTCCCAGTGATAACTACAACAATCAAGGCTTAACTACAACAAGACTACAACAAGACTGTGCACAAAGCCCACAAAGGGGTGCACCAAGAGTGTCCACCTCAGGTAATTGGGGAGGCTGAGCCACTAGGCCCTATAGGACACCTAGCACACAAAGCCACTCTATCAACACAGGGAAGCATAAAAAATGCGGAGACAAAGAAACAGGTCACAAATGACAGAAATGGAGGAAAGCAAACGACTGGATATAGAGTTCAAAACCACGGTTATAAGTTTTTTCAAGAATTTTCTGGAAACCGCCGATAAATTTAGTGAGACCCTGGAGGATATGAAAAAAGACCAACTAGAAATTAAGCATACACTGACTGAAATAAAGAATAATATACAGAGATCCAATAGCAGACAAGAGGATCCCAAGAATCAAGTCAAAGATTTTAAATATGAAGAAACAAAAAATACCCAATCGGAAAAGCAAAAAGAAAAAAGAATCCAAAAATATGAAGATAGTGTAAGGAGCCTCTGGGACAACTTCAAGCATACCAACATCCGAATGATAGGGGTGCCAGAAGAAGAGAGAGGGCAAGATATTGAAAACCTATTTGAAGAAATAATGACAGAAAACTTCCCCTATCTGGTGAAAGAAATAGACTTACAAGTCCAGGAAGTGCAGAGAACCCCAAACAAAAGGAATCCAAAGAGGACCACACCAAGACACATCATAATTAAAATGCCAAGTGCAAAAGACAAAGAGAGAATCTTAAAAGCAGCAAGAGAAAAAAAGTCAGTTACCTACAAGGAAGTACCCATACGACTGTCAGCTGATTTCTCAACAGAAACTATGCAGGCCAGAAGAGAGTGGCAAGAAATATTCAAAGTGATGAATAGCAAGAACCTACAACCAAGATTACTTTATTCAGCAAAGCTATCATTCAGAATTGAAGGTCAGATAAAGAGCTTCACAGATAAGAAAAAGCTAAAGGAGTTCATCAAAACCAAACCAGCATTATATGAAATGCTGAAAGGTATTCTTTAAGAAGAGGAAGAAGAAAAAGGTAAAGATAAAAATTATGAACAGCAAATACATATCTATCAACAAGTGAATCTAAAAATCAAGTGAATAAAAAATCTGACGAACAGAGTAAACTGGTGAATATAATAGAACCAGGGGCATGGAAAGGGAGTGGACTGACAATTCTTGGGGGGAAAGGGGTGTGGGGGTGCAGGAAGAGACTGGACGAAAATCGTACACCTATGGATGAGGACAGTGGGAGGGGTAAGGGCAGAGGGTGGGGTGGGAACTGGGTGGAGGAGAGCTCTGGGGGGTGGGGGGGAAGAGGAACAACTGTAATAATCTGAACAATAAAGATTTAATTAAAAAAGAAAAAAGAAAATGTGAGATGCATATTTCAGATGACCAAAGATATGTATTTTTCATAATTTAAAAAATTAAACCATTTTATTTTTGTTAATTCAATGAATACTCTTTGTAGGAAAATTATATTTCTTAGTGTAGTAGTGCTTATCCAAAATAATAGAAATTATGATGTTTCAGTTAAATAAGTACTTCAGATGATTGAAAATTACATTTTCAAAGAATTAAAATATACACAACACTAAACCACTACTGAAGATATTTTTATCTTTCTTTAAGGATTTCAGAATAGGGTTCTTTAGCATATTACAGTAAAAAAAATCAACACTGTCAAAATCAAATACTATTGTGCAATATTGTAAAGAGAATTCCAACTGTAATACATGTCATCTTTGGCTTAGGGGTGGGCAAACTTTTTGACTCGAGGGCCACAATGGGTTCTTAAACTGGACCGGAGGGCCGGAACCAAAGCATGGATGGAGTGTTTGTGTGAACTAATATAAATTCAAAGTAAACATCACTACATAAAAGGGTACGGTCTTTTTTTTTTTTTTAGTTTTATTCATTTCAAACGGGCCGGATCCGGCCCGCGGGCCGTAGTTTGCCCACGGCTGGCTTAGATTCTGTTCTTAATCAGATTTCCTCTCATCTTCTCCCCTGATGCTTTTCTCTTCACATCTGATTTGTTTTTATTCACTAGGAACTTGATCATCCTCTTTATTAGGTCAATGGTCCTGCCAAATTTATTCTTTAACCATAAGGTAAAAATGAAAATGAGACCGTCTCTTGTAAGGATATTAATACGAGTCTTTTATCACTTTTTATTATTTATTCCATGGGGAAGCCAGACTTGCTCCTTACCTGGCCACCCAAGTCCCTTTATGTCATGTTCTACATAAACTGGAGGCTGCTTGGGAAGACAGTAGCTATATGCAACTTTAAAAGCATAAGAAATATAAATATTATAGTGATACTTATAAATAGTCAATGCTACTTTAATATAGATATAGATATCTTTAATAAATCTTATGGAAAAAATTATATATACATTTTAGAAATTAAATGTCCTTTCAAAATGTTCAGTAAGTATTCATTATTTAAAGAAATATTATGCTAAGTTATCTTGTAGTATGAATCAAGTGGATCTTATTTTATGAGTTTGGATAATTTTTTTCTGGTTTTCTTCAAGTCATCTATTTTGCAAATGAGAAAAAATTTCCAGATTTTATTGGTCATTCCTCCTAGCATTTAGACATAAGCCTCACTTTACATATTTATCTTTATTAAAAAAATTGGTCACCTCTTTTAAAAAAATGTCAGAGGTATTCTGAGTACTGATTTTATCAGGCATATATCATCTGTTGATGATGTGTGAAGCCATAATATTAATCATTTACTAACTAGAGCAGATGATCATAATTAAGGAAAAATAAAAATCAGTATTTGGGAAAAAAATTTTAACCCATTACAAACAATAAAATCTTTGAGTTTTTCATTAGTTTCATATAAAACTTCAGTTGAAACTAATTTACAACAAACTAACAGTTTTAAAATTATCTTAAGATCTAATATATAAGGTATCTTTAATCCCTTAAGAAAAAAATTATAAAAAGAGCATGTGAAGCTTAGACAAATACTTTTTAAGAATGAAGTATAGTATGACAAAACACAAAAATAAATTAAAGTGAAATACCTGGTATATATGAAATTGCAAATACATTTCTTCCAAATGATGCATGCTTAATCTCTCGCACAAATTCTTTGGTGTCAGTTTTAAAACACTGGATCCGACCATTTTCCCTGTCTGCCACACATAATTGACCCAAATGAGGCACAAGGGCCAAGCTGTGAGGAACAGTAAACTGGCCTGGTTTGGGATTGCTCCCTGAAGATTCTACAAAACACAGAAAAACATCAGATATATAATTTGTAATAGCACCAAAAGTCTGACTCTACAGTTTTGTTTTCCATATTTATGACAACAAACCATTAAATATCTGGAACTAGGGGGGAAACAGGGTAAAGCAGTTATACATTTATTCCATTAATATCTCTTACCCACAAACACATTAGATATTTACTCTCTATTTGGACAAAATTTTGGGGTAGAAGTATTCTTTTTCCTCATAAGATGTAGGGGTGTGTGTGTGTGTGTGTGTGTGTGTGCACGCGCGTGCGAGCGCACAAGCCAGGTAGATGCATATAGAGGCCCTGTTTTCTCTACTACAGGGGACAATGGCATCCTAAAGGACGTGAGGGGTACCAATCTCCTGTTCCTAGTGATACTGGCTAGGAATTACAATTAGAGTTTTATTGGGTACCTTCTCCCCACTGTGTGATGAACTCTCCACTTGGAGAAAACTGCACAATCCGACTGTTGCAGTAACCGTCTGACACATAGACGGCTCCGGTGTCTGGATCCACGGCCACATCGGTGGGCTGACAGAAGTGATTCTGGTCACTGCCTGGTTGCATGCTCCTTCCCAGGATTAGCAGAGGGCCTGCCTTACTGTTCGGATCCAGTTTGAACACCTTTTTCAAAAGGAACAACAGCCTCACTGCATGGTTATTACTGACACACACCCACATGGCTAAGAACACTTGCACAGGCAATTAGAGTGTAAGCTCCCAGAGACTTATTTAAAACAAGATACTTTTTAAGAACTGGAAATCATCTGGTCTGATTCCTTCATTTGATAAGTGAGGACCACAGAGATTAATTGGTTTGCTCAAGGTCATCCAGGTAATTAGTAGTGAATGAAGACTAGTACAAGGATGTCCTGTTCCATCCACACCTATTCCATGCACTTCCTTATCTTTCCTTAGCTAACAATGCTATCCAGACGATACACGAGCAATAAATGTTTACCGAGATAATGTCTGAAGACCCTGGTAGCTAGTCTTTTGAGTTCTAGCATTTCCACCCCCACCCCTAATTTCCCTAGTATTTTGCTGCCTACTCTAAAAACAGGTATCAAATGTGAACTTTGCTTCTAAGGGAAAAAACTTATGACTATTCTGTGATTGAAATATAACTTCTTTTAAAATTTTGATGTTTAATACATAAACATGTATGTACCAGAGACATAGCTTCAATTTATTGAAGATTAGGAAAAGAAAATAGAAAACACAAGGGATGAAATAGAACTAAGACCCGAGGACAGAGAAAAGCAAAGAAAACGGGGAAGCAAAGAAGGAGGTTGGCCCTAAGGTTCCTGCCAATTCAAAGGAGAAAGGTGACTTGATCATTTATGAGTAGCTTTTCCTAGCACTAACTTGTAAGAGAAATATTTGAGATGGGGCTGCTCCTTTTTCTTGTTATAAACTAACTGGGTCACAGGAAAGACACAGGTAAGGCAGAGCATTTTGAAAGCATAACTTCATGAACTTCTACTTGAATAACTGCCAAATGGAAGATAAATTACCTGATGCAGAGCCACGTCAGTGACCCAGTAATTTCCATCTTTATCCACACTCAAGCCATGTGGCAAGTAAAACCTGCAAAATAAGAATAACTGTCTTAAATATACGTTAATTTCCAAAGCATGTGTACCATGAATGTTTTGGTAATTAACCTATAAAGGCAATAAAAATTAATAAATTGATAAATGTATACCAGCATTACAATAGAAAAGAACAAAATAAAATGTTAAATGAAAATACTTGTTATAAAAAGAGATATCCTTATGACAAATCTTAAGCAGTAGTTAATCATTTAAACATGTATATGTAAATATATTACAAATATTTATTGTAAAGTATGGTATGTTAAATAATACAAATAACATCAATTTAAAAACAAGTTCTAAGATCATAAATATTAGCATCTTAGAAATGTGCATAAACAAATTTGTCTAGAGAAATAGAAATGGATTTATATGGTTTGAATCATTTAAATACACTGCAAGATAATATAATTCTGTAGTAATATAGGACATCAATATATGACTCAAAAGCTTTAAGAGTGCCTACTAAAGACAGTAAAACCCAAACAACTTCCAGCAGACATGGGCTGTGCCCATCCAAGCAAAGTGAAGTGGTGTGCCGGATAATCATTAGAGAAGGTTAATCTATTTAACAATCAATTGGGATGATCTGGCTAAGTGAATTGTAAACTAATGTAGACAGAAGCTCACAGGCTTAAGGAACTTGGACAGAAATAACAAACATATGGACAATATCTTAATACGGTGTGGTCAAAAGACATCGGGCAATCTCCAAGCTACGTTTGTCAGCTTCTGGCCTTAGCATCATGCTGGCACTACACATTTTTTTTTCCTATGAGCCAAGGCTGTGATATTGATTAATTCACTGAACTAGATCTCTGTTTTGGTGACTGAATGTGAGAGCTATGATATGCTTCTGACATAACACCCCACTGTTGGCCAATTTCCTTTAGCAGCCATTGCTCTGCCCTCCTCTTTAATTCCTTTCTGGAATGAGAATACTTCTGATTAATGGGTGGAGCAGCAAGGAGACAGGTTCAGACACACTGAGTGGGGGAGCTGGTACAGTGGGGCCTTGACTTACGAGTTTAATTCCTTCGGAGACCTAGCTTTTTAAGGAGCTCGTTAACTCAAATTAGTCTGTCAACTCAATGCAAAAAATCGGCCGAGAGACAGCTGGTATCTCAAAAAACTCGTTAGTCGGGACCCTCGTAAGTCAAGGCCTCACTGTATTAGAATTTGTTCCCCAACTCACAATCTTAGAATCCTATAAAAATCTAATTCCTGCCATCTCCAGAAGCAGCTGCATTCGAAGCGGTGGCTCCCTGCCTTTCAAAGAAGCTGGCTCTCCCTGTGCCCAAGCAGATGGAGAGGGTACAGTTCCTGAAGATGCCAGGTTCAAATGGTTGAGGACGCTCTGTAAGCAGGTGACCTTTCTTTCCATGGCCATAAAGTGTCAGCCAACTTTTTTAATTTTGGCTGCCAAATGCCATCCAGGAATAAGATCAAATAATGAGTGGCTTTCAAAGCCAAATTACCTATGCATGCTAAGGAAAGATAAAAAGGACATTTGTTCAGTCTTCACTTGGAGATGGAAAAACAAATGCCTTTTTCCTTAACAGTATTTACTTGATGAGTTTGGCTATATAACTTTTCTGCTGAATAATTTTTTTAAAAATCTTCAGATGTAACTGAGCATAACTCCATTAGTTATGTGTATCAAACCTGACTACCTCTGAGAATCACCTGGGGAGTTTCAAAAGTATTTTGATGTCCAGGCCTCATTCCAGACTATATGTGAATCTATGTTTTTAAGCTCCCAGGTGATTTTAATATTCAGTCAGGGTTTAGAATATGCTACTTAGAAATTGAAAGATGAGATGGCCCAATTAGTCTCCTGCTTTTTTGTTGTTAATCCTCACCCGAGGATATTTTTTCCCATTGATTTTTAGAGAGAGTGGAAGGTAAGGGGAGAGACACAGAGAAAGAAACATCAATATGAGAGAGACACATTGATTGGTACCTCGCACAGGCGCCCCAACTGGGGCCAGAGATCAAGCCTACAACCAAGGTATGTGAGTGTCCTTCACCGGAATTGAACCCACAACCCTTCAGTCTGAGGGTTGACACTCTAACTACTGAGCCAAACTGGGTAGGACAGCCTCCTGCTTTCTTTTTTTTTTTTAAACATATTTTATTGATTTTTTACAGAGAGGAAGGGAGACGGATAGAGAGTTAGAAACATCGATGAGAGAGAAACATCGATCAGCTGCCTCCTGCACACCCGCTCCTGGGGATGTGCCCACAACCAAGGTACATGCCCCTGACCGGAATTGAACCCGGAACCCTTCAGTCCGCAGGCCGACGTTCTATCCACTGAGCCAAACCGGTTAGGGCAGCCTCCTGCTTTCTTAAGCTATGCTTTCTCACCACTGCTATAAAACACACTCTTCCCAAGACCAGACCCAATGATGCACTTTGTACCCAACACTATATGTAGTACACGCCTTAGTAACAACATAAGTACTTTAACTCACAGATTTTTCCCACTGGATTGGAGTACTGCCGCAGTATTTGGATCGATGACAAGAATAGTGTCTTCTTCAATTGGCCCAAGTCCTCTTTGCTGGTAAACAAACTGGCTGTCAAAAGAGCTTTAAGAAAAGCATTAGAATAAAAAATAAATAAACCACGTCAATGAACTTGAGAATGCAGACTATTTACTTGAGATTCCAAATACAGAATCAAAAGAAGAGCTCAGATGTATCTGACTTCACTCTGTCCTGGACGTTTCAGCATCCTGGGTTATACACACACCAGCAGCCTGCAGAACTGTGCCTCGCAGAGTGGCTATGGAGCAGCAGCATGGAGATGCCTGGAGATGCAAGGTCTCAGATCCCACTGAATCTGAACCTGCAGCTTCACACCATCCCCATGTGATTCATAGGCACGAGGGTTTGAGGAACACTACCTATAACTCTTAAAGTAACTAATATTTTTTAAAAGGTTTAATAGTTATTTTCTTTCAAATTACAAAAGAAACCATAGCTTACTTTAATTTTCTCTGTGATGGTAAGGGAAGTATAAATGATAGCAGGAAGGATAGTGATAAAAAATAGGTTGCTATTGTACTAGCCATAGATACAACATACACATCAAATGAAAAAAATCTGAATGACATTAAATATTTATGGAGACATATTTGTATTTGGAAAACCAACAGACTAGACTGCTCAAATATACATACAACTGTTGATTAGTTGGTTGGTATTTTTATGGAACTTTGTAGAGTCCCAGTGGAACAAAAATTTCAAAATATAATCTGTTGCTATTAAGAATATACATCACACAATTATGTGAGCATCTTGACTGTTATAGTCTTTTGGGTATATTTTTCCTGAAAGATAACAGTAAGTCCCTGAGGTAGTTCTTATTAATGACCCATTCAATTAAGTACAAAATATTGATTCAGCTTTGTCAACCTAAAACTGAAGTAATACTGGTTACATATGCCATTATGTGTGGTTAAAACCACACAACGATATATAGAAAAATATACATAGGTTTATGAAGTGGAAGTGACATCACTACAGAACAGATTTTATAAGATATTCATGGGATCATTATGAAATTGAAACGTGACATTTTATTAGTAGTGCACAAGGTGTTATTAAATCAGGAAAGTCTGGTAAAGGGCAAACTTGAACTCTCTCTCTTTTACTACTGTGCGACACCAAAGAGTTTACGCTATATCTGAAAGTATTCTCAATATGAATTTTTATACTAAAGACATCATCACCAATTTTCTAGAAAACAAAGGTACCAAGCTCAGTCATCAATGATGTTTTCTTCCCAACTTGACCATGAGATTGGATAACATCAGTAACATCAGTTCAGCATATCTGAGACTCGCAGTACGCTGTACGTTTCACATTCGTGTGTAAGAGGATGAAGTCTCTTCATTTATTGTCTCTTATAGTGTAAGTCTTATATCCTTCATTGAAATTCCAGTGCTTTACAATGGCACAATGGCTATCTAAATTATGTGAGAATTATGCTTTCCCTGACTGTAAGAAGTTAAAACTCTGATTTCCCTTTTTCTTGAATTGAAATTTTAAGAGAATTGTAGACTCACATGCAGTTGTAAGAAATAATACAGAGTGATTCCTTATACACTTTACCCAGTAGCATTTTGTACAACTATAGTACACTATCATAACCACGAGACTGATCCTGATAAAAATCGACGGGTTATATTTAGATTTCCCTCTTATATTTCCTAATTTTTTTTATTCTTGCAGTTTATTTGCTTGGGCATGGAATATACTAGTATATTACTAGTCCCCACATAGGAGTTAGTAATATGGAAAGTTGCCGTATCTTCATAATTCTCACCAAGTGCTATCACTGCACATGTAGACAGTGATCTGACCCACTACTGACAGGTAGTAATAGTGCAGCCCAATGGTATATCCCGATGAACCGGGAGCAGATCAGACCTCAGCACACCTAATGTCACCTCTTATTTGTAAAATGACAAACCGAACAAGAAGCCTGATATATTTACTTGTTCACGATTTCCTCAAGAAATGGGTTGCAATAATTCTGGAAGATAACTACCCCTTTGGTTTGTCTTGTCATCCACTTAAATATTCACCATCAGTCCTAAATCTCTGGTTGTAGGGTCCTACTATTTTAGGAAATAACATTCGTACAACTTATTATAGATGGGGAGAAAATACAAAGGAGACCCCCTTCCCCAGGAATAGATACTGAACTCTTAACTTAAAATTATTTTTATAGCTCCAGCTTATTTCTCCTGCACTCAAATATTTCAAAATGTAAACTTTAACTCCCTGGAAGCCATGTCTCTCAGAGTCAAGAACCTGAAATGTTGAACTTGGCTTCCAAAAAACCAAGCTCTGGTAAGGAAGAAATATAAATAACCCAGACCCACATCCTATGTCAGTCAGATTGAATGAAACTGTTGTAGCTGATGAATAGGCAGGAGAAAAACATCCTTTATCAATGACACTGTTGCGTACTGCCCACAAATATAGGAAAAAATGTATCAAGTCATTGATGCGTTGCTGTCATAAACACAATTTGTGTGTGGGCATCTCGACTCATAATCTAGAAATGTCAAATTTCTAGTGGTGGTAATAAATAGTAGCTAACTCATATGAGGATCATCCCCTTTCATTTTATTATTCACTTGTTGGTGGTGTTATAGTAAATTGTGAAATAGCAAATGAAGGAAGCAAGAAAAAAATAAGTAACAAAACTAAATAAGCTACCGAATAAATAAATCAGGCATTTTTAATAAAAAATTGGATACACAGAAAATATCAGATCTCTCAATTTATCAGGATATTCTTCTCAGTATCATATTACAATGTAACAACAATTTAGTTTGTGTGCTTTTTTAGGACTCCTGGTTACCACAAATTACCCCCGTCATTAGTGTATACGGAGGGCATTTTATGTGATGCTTAAGACTAGCCACTTTTCCTACAGTATACAGCCTTATGATCATTATTCATGGTATTATAATTCTTCTATATCCATTAAGGATCTCAGTAACTAGACAAGTTCTTGAATTTACTGTTTAGAGAATCTGTTCATTTAAAGACCACCTCCCAAAAAAAACGCAAAGTAAACATGACAAAACAAAAACCAAAGATGACATTCTACTTATATCAGCATCATTTAAATATATCAATTTACTTCAGAAACGTAAAAGCAAATAATAAAACTCTAGAATTCTTAAGAAGATTACAGCTTTAAAGAAATTAACCACAACACAACAGGCCTGACCGTTACATTAAAAGTCTTTTGTGATACCCTTTAACAGACGGCCATATGTTTAAACTGGAATATTCAGTCACTCAAATGATTGGTGGGCCAGTCCTAATCCCTTCACTTGGGATGCTAGGAGCTTCATGTAACTAACAGTTGGCCCCTGGTAGCTACACAGGGCAAGTAAGAAAATAACTTGATATTTCTTTAAATGAGAAAAATCTCTCTCTCTCTCTCTCTCTCTCTCTCTCTCTCTCTCTCTCTCACACACACACACACACACACAATCTCTCTCACACACACGCACACACACACACAATCTGTCAAATGAACTAGTTTATAAGCTCTGTTGTAATTCACAGAAAGGTAACCATTGAATAGCTCACAAATGGATGTCAACCTACAGAGCTGCCTACAGGGTTGCTATAGCAAAGTGCTTATTTGGTGTTCTAAAGCAGCTAGCCAGGGTTATATGTTGCAGAGAAGTCTTTATTTCAACCACATTTAACTTTTACAGGATATAATAATACCCTGCACATTTCACAGTGCCTAGAGCGCTGATGATCTTTGTTTGCTTCTTAGAAAAAGCACTCAGCTAAAAAGACTGAACTGTGGCCTGTGGGCCGGAATTCATCAGTTCTTTATTTTAGCAGTTTGAATCCCCCACTAATGATTTTGCACATTAGCAGCTAATCAAACAGTTTAGATAAGGCCTAGAAGAAATGCTCTGCTGTGGTCACACAGAGAAAGAACTAGAGTAAGGAGAAAATAAACTTCTGTGCCATCAATCCAAATTAAGGGAAACAAAATAAATAATAGCAACTGAAGAGAGAAATAAAATATAATGTTGTAATTATATAAATTAAGAAGCTGGAGAAGGAGCCATAGATTTTCAAGTGAGAATTTAAATGGAAATGTACCCTCAATGTTAGGAAAGCAAAAACATACCATACAAAGGCTAGAGGTTTAAAATGGGATATAATTTGATACTATGTTAAAAACACTTACGTCTGAATATATACACATTGCAAAAAATCCTTGTGAGGATAGAATGTGGGCTGAGAAAGCAACCAGCATGACTATTTGGTGCTCTGATGGAGTTAGCACGAGAGATGTCCCAGACAGGAATGAAAAAAACAAAGGATGAGGTATCATGGTACTGGGCTCTGGGCAGTTAGGGCACTTGGGGATGAGTCACTTAGCACTGGTTTTTGTTACTCAACAGAATAAGGCCTATTAAAGGCCTTATTTTTTGGACTAGGGAACTTGAGAGTTAGAGAGTTCAAATGTCTTGATGCAGGTCTCAGGGCTAGGAAACGATTCAACCCAGGTCACCTGTCTTTAAAAAAGGAAAAAGTGGTCTTCTCTTACTGGGAATGTCCTCTATTAAATTTAATGTAAATGTGGGAGACATGAAAGAAGTTACCTAACTAAGAAGAATGAGAGGAAGGGGTGTAAAACTGGAAGAAAGTAGCCAGAGGAAAATGGGAAATGGCAATCTGAGAAAGAAGGGTAGGAAATAGAAACGTTGTTTTTGTAGATTCCTTACAATTTTCTCTTAGACAGTAAGGTACTACGGTACCGCTCAGTCACTTTGAGTTGTTTTCCAGGCACAATTAATTCTTAAGGTATGAAAGAATTTGCAGATGTAGATGCAGAACCTCAACCTGATATCTTTTTAAAAAAATATATTTTACTGATTTTTTACAGAGAGGAAGGGAGAGATATAGAGAGTTGGAAACATTGATGAGAGAGAAACAACGATCAGCTGCCTCCTGCACACCTCCTACTGGGGATGTGCCCGCAACCAAGGTACATGCCCTTGACCGGAATCAAACCTGAGACCATTCAGTCTGCAGGCCGACTCTCTATCCACTGAGCCAAACCGGTTAGGGCTCAACCTGATATCTTAAATGAGTCACCAGAAAACTAGTGAGGCAAATCTTGAACTGAGTTTCCTGAAAGTTAGGAAGCAGATAGATTTCTGAAATAATTGATATTGTCAAAATTCTTGCCCTGACCGGTTTGGCTCAGTGGATAGAGCATTGGCCTGTGGATAGAACGGTTCCAGGTTCGATTCCAGTCAAGGGCATTTACCTTGGTTGCGGGCACATCCCCAGTGGGGGGTGTGCAGGAGGCAGCTGATTGATGTTTCTCTCTCATCAGTGTTTCTAACTCTCTATCCCTCTCCCTTCCTCTCTGTAAAAAATCAATAAAATATATTTTAAAAAATTCTATTAAGCACTGATGAAGAGAAGGACTGTGAGCTATGTGGGGGGCAAGTGGAAGAAGATTCCAAAAAAACTACATCTCTAAGAACAACATTTGTTTAACCAACCATTTGACAATTCAAATTTTATAAACAACATTTTCGAAGATATGACAGGCATGCTCATCCAGCAGATCTAATACAAACAAGGCTGGGAGGGATAGCTCACTCTCTGGTTAATTAAGAATAAAATGATATCTGAAAACTGAAGCAATGCTAAATCTACTGAAGTGAGGTGTAATTGGAATAAAGTCTTGCATTTAAAAAACACTTTATGAGTACAAATTTCCAGTAAAAACTTGAGCACAGTTTATAAAATATATTTGGAGATCTTAGCATAGTACAAGTTCAACACAAGGCAACAAGGTGGTGATATTCTTGCTGAAGAAAAGTGAATACAATCGCTTTATACTGACAGATACCTAGAATACACATCAAGGAAAGTAACTGTATTGCTGAGCAGATACTACATGAGGTGTTGTGGCCACTTCTCAACCAAACCCTTTAAAAGGCTTGGAAACCAGAGCACTTTCAGATGGAAGTAACATGTCAGCATCAAGACTCGGAGAGGGCCTGGGGGTATTTAGTCTGTGGAAGACAAGGCTGCCTTCAAATAGGCAAATAACTGCCCTGGGTAAATGGGAGTAATCCATTCTGCATCAGGCTGTCATGAGGTGGAGTTAGGGACTCAGATTTGAGATTAACATAATGAAGACCTTTATGACATCTGGATGAGTCCCATAATTAAAGAGTAAGTCTCATCTCTAGAGAATTTCTTGGCACGGAAATAATTCTAGCACTGGCTGACGGCAGAAGATTTTGTAAAGAGATGTCTGCATTGGGCAGGGAGCTGGAGATGAGCTATTCATGGTATTACTACAATTCTGGTGGGTATGTGCCATTCTGGGTGCTCAAAGTCTACTGCACTATTTTATGCTAATGAAACCTCATTTTTTCTTTAGTTGACCCAATAGTTTGAGCTTCTCTCTCAGCCCATTATTTTTCGATGATGTCAACTCTACTCTCACATTCCAGGAATAGAACAACAACAAAACAAAAAAACTGAGGCTAAGCCAAAGAGTGGATTTCATTCCTCTACCCACAAAGACGGGTTCAGGGATGGGGGAGACATGACCTCAGTGAGACTGAAGAATGCTAAAAGACTCAATTTAAGAATTTTCTATTGAGTTATCAGAGACATAGACTATATCTTCACTGTAACTAGTATGATAATGGATTCTCAGGGCCTAAGAAAAGAGCCAATCAGGAGAAAGTGTGTTAAAAAACAGATCCCATTGATACTGCTTGGGCCATCATACCCTTGAAGTTTTCATTTATGCAAACTAACAAATTTCTTCTTTTCCTAAGCTACTGTGTGTTGGGTGTTCTCTCTTATTGGTAAAGAAAGACTCGCAAGTGATACAACTCCCAAGTTCTCTTTCAACTCCATGTGAAGAAATAATAAAAGATACAAAGGAAGCAACTTTTAACACCAAAATTAGGGGTAAAACCCATGGTTAGATTAGTGATTTGAGTTCTGCACAGTACTTTGATGATAGCTGGATAAATAAAAGAAAGGCCGAGAAGTGAGTCTTTGACAGTGGGGCTGATTTAAGACAGAAACCCAGGAACAGCTGTTACTGAGCCAGGAGCTACCCAGCTCCTACTGGGAAGCATTTAAACATTAAAGAGCTCTAGCTGCTATGCTGCCCTAACACCAGGGCAGACAAGAGGACCTTTAAAATTTCATTACACCCTGCTGGGAATAGGCCTTTCCTATTTTAGCTGGAAGAAGCTTCTTAAAGTAGCCATATTGAAGTAAGAGACATAGAGTGGAAGGAAAATGGAAATCAAATTGAGAAAGGGAATGACAATCATCTTTCAGGATGTTAAGTGGTTTATTATTATTATTACTAGAGGCTCAGTGCACAAAATTAATGCACTGGCAGGGTCCCTAGTGGCTGGCAGTGGCCAATGGGTACTCCCTCCCTTCCCCTGGCCAGCCTCACCCCCTGGTTGAACTCCCGGTTGAGGGGACAATTTTTTTGCATACTATGCTTTTATTATATAAGATTTTGGTTGCTATGCTTATTCAGCATGGTTAAGTAGAAGAGTAAGAGCTGATCAGGGATACTGGGTAAGAATGAAGACTAATAGTACAGGCAGATGGTGTGATGATGTCAAAGGAGCTTTGGGTAATAAGTATAATTAGAGATTATTATTAACTCCAAGCACTGTCTGATACTTAACGAATAACCATCTAAAAATTAGGGGACATAGAGTGTATAGAGTACTTAGTTTGGTTGAAAGCAAGCCTTGGCCTTATGGAACCTACAATTTTGTGAACATGAGGAATATCAGGATAGGAAAGACTCCAAGAAAAATTAATGTAGGATTTATCACTACTCTATCCAAGCAGTGGTAGCAACAAGAATGCAATTTCCACACCATCTTAAATTTCCATTGTCTCCACCAGCCCATCATAAATTCTACAGGAAAGTGCTTTTTTCTTTGTACAGTTCTTGGATACTTAACGAGGGAGAAGAAAAACTATGTACTCCATATATTTTATATAATGTGACTTGTGTATGTAGGAAGGGTGATCATGTGTGACTGTTCAAAGAACAGAGCTCACAAATCCAAATCTATTTTTCTAAAAAAAGAAAATAACAATGAACAGAACAATCCACTTCTAATTCCCCTCATGAATAATAAGGCAGACAGTTGTTGAAAGCAGAGAGCTGAATGCTGGAAGAGAATTTCCTCACCAGCATGACTGCAAAGGGTGCTAGAGGCCAACTGGTAATACAGGAGAGGCAGAAGGCATGAGGGATAACAAGTATTCTCACACCTGAAGATAGAGATGAAGAAGAAAGAAGAAACAGAGATGTAATGAATTGAACCAGCACATCTGCTCTGAGGAAGTCTTGCGTTTTAGACAACACCACTTTGTTGGTGCCATGCATGAGGGTACAGACACCAGGGCTTTGGCAATGACACTGGAATCTCTTTACACATGACACTGGGTATCCAGATGAAAGCTAGATGCCAGGAAAAAGCAGTTTTTCAGTTCAAGCCATAAAAGTCACAGAAAATGTTCTTATGTGGTTCTTGTTTCAGAGTCTTGTGTCATCTCCTGCCCAGAGCTGCCTTTTACTGACCCTCTTTTTCTAATAAGCTAGTCCAGCCTCTGCTGTTTACTTGGAATCAATATAACATTAAAATGGAAAACTGGGCTTTGTCCAACTCATCTTTAGCCAGCTGAGACAGCATCAATGGGAGGAAATGATGCCGCAATTTTCTTCTCTGATAAAATGAGGCTAGAAATCCATGCAGAAAACGTGGCAATATTCATTAAAATGAAGAATATGCTACAATGAATAGTAATAGTTTGCCTTTAAAAGTACTTGTTAAAATGCCATTAGATGTTCAATAATGACTAAGATGATGTACGAGAGATGCACGAATAGGAATATTGAGATCGATTGTTTCTTTTGAACTCTGAAGTGATCTCTTTCTCCAATTCCATTCTCAAGTGTGACAACTGGAAAGGACAATTAAACAGGAACAAAGCGACCAATCTATTCTGAAATGCTGATTGAATTCCACCTTCAATGGCACAAAGAAAGCTATAGACATGTGTCTGTGACACAGCAGGTTTAGCATGAGTGTAATCAACATCTCCGAAAGCGAGGGAAAAGAAAAACTGAAGTATACATGTGGATCCCCAATGTTCCGGATCCTATAGATGTACTCTTGAAAGGAGAAGACTGATCCACTTAATTGATAAGATATTTTAAAATGTTCCTTCTTATGTAAATGTGATAAAACAAATTAATAAATGGATATTCATTACTCGGTAGCTTTAAAATAACCAGCTAAATTTTGGAGCAATCTTTTAAAAAAATTATGTAAATGTGTTTACAACCCTGTTAACAGGCAGCATCTCAAAATGGGTACCGATTATTCCTACGCGTGCCGAGCTCAAAAGGTTCGCCATCACTGCCCTAGACTCTAGTCTAGAGGCTACTTGTTATCACTGATGAGGAGCAGTCCAAGATGCTAGGGCAAGTCCAGTGGCCTTAGAACAGGCTGCACCCAGTAGCAGGAAATAACAAAGTGCTGTATTATAGTCAAAGAGTAACTTTTCACACACTTCCTTTGAAGTCTTAGAATTCCTCAGCCAACTTCTTAACTGCTTTCAGTATTATTCTCCTTAGAAGTGTGAAGGCAAGCTTAAAGGGAGCAAAACATGGTAGGTAGGCAGAATCATAGATTGTTATTGCCTTCTTTTCATAAACTAGTTGATAAAATGACTACTTTGTTTTAAAGTGCACTAGAGTTCCGCTCTGTTACTTGTCACAGTCATACAATAAAAGAACAAATATATTTTGCTCACACAAATCAAGTTCAAAAAGAACCTTGAAAGTTCTCTCAGCACTATCCCTAGTGTAATGAAAAGTGACGCATGCTCTTTTTATTTTCATTTACTCTTTGAAGGAAAAATCTTACTTACTTTCCATCCCAGACATGGTCACCTCTGTGGAAAATCACCAGGTTATTCTTAGGGTCCACAGCCACCCCAGAAACCTGGCCTGGTAACAAGTATACTCCAGGCCAGTCCAGCGCCTCTTCTACATGGAAATCTAAAAAACAAATCCGTACATTTAGTGTAAACAAGAAAGCTAGTACAACCTCATGAAGATTCACATTGGTTATAAGAAACTCATGCAGTAACGTCACTAGATGCAAAGAAAGAAAGAAATCAAGCCGTGCTCTACATGACACACCACATGCACATGCCAAGTAGCTTCTGGAGCTATGAATCGGGTAAACGACTGTGAACTGTTTGGGAATTACATGCTCTCTTCTCCTGTTGATAAGATGCCTATAAAACCTGCTTGCCCTTAAATCAGTAAGAACAAATGTGAGACCACCTTCTTCTTAATAAGATTCTTATTTTAATCAGTATCTTTGGAAAATGTGGCCACATGGATGGCATAATTTTAATATAAAGCTTTTAAATGTTGTAAATAAATGCCAAACATGGCCAATTAAGCATCTCTCTCTCTCTCTCTTTCTCCTCTTGTGTACATTCTGATGTTCAATATACACCAGACCCTACAATAAGCCACCCCTTGTATAAGGAACTATACAAGATGCCAACTTCATTTTCCCTAATTTCAGTGTTCCGATGAAAAATAGGAGTGGAGAGATATCCTCTTTCACTGCTTATATTTCACTGCTTCCTGACATTAAGAAAAAGGAAAAATCACAGAAACTCTGTGACTGAATGACTTCCAAGCCATTCCTATTTCTGACCAGAATACATTTATAGAGAATAGCTGGGTTCATTTGTGGTTATCCCTTTACAGACATTCGAGTAAAGAGGTATGATGTGTGGAGTAGCTACTCTGAGGATATATAGTTACGAAGATGCTATGAAATCTGTTGTATCAGTGTCAATATTTCTTCCCCTCCCAAATGCTTCAACAGAGATGCTGAGAAGTAGAAAAGAAGCAATTCCAGTCTCATTTATCCTCCCCACCCTCTGGAGGATGTAGCAACACAGCAAAATCTCAAAGACAGGCATTAAAGACCAGGAAAAAAGGGAGGCACAGGGCTTCTATAATTAGCTTCTGGAAACTTGAGAGGACGCCAGTGTGAGAATAAACACTTTAAAATAATTCTCTTGACTAAAAAAAAAATAGTACTTTTCCACTTAACATATTTTACCTTTGCACATTTATCATTTTTCTTTCAAAAAAATTAACAAAACATAGCACAATCAATAGGATGTTAGATCAGCTCTGCCTACAGGCTTTGCTGAAGCATCTTTAACAAACATCCCCTAAATCAGTGGTTCTCAACCTTGGCTGCACATTAGAATCACCTGGGAATCTTTTTAAAATCATGATTTCTGGGCCTCATCCTCCGGAAATTCTATTTCTTTGTTACAAATGTTGTGGCCTCACTCCATAACAAAGAAACAGAATTTCCGGAGGATGAGGCCCAGAAATCAGGATTTTAAAAAAAGATTCCCAGGTGATTCTAAGTGCAGCCAAGGTTGCGAACCACTGCCCTAAATGAACCATGTAGGTGAGGCATTATGCTAGATTCCGGGAAAACACACACACACACACACACACACACACACACAGAAATAAAACATCATTTTTGGCCTTGAGGAACTACAAGATGAGAAAAAACAGAAAGCAAATACATATGGCACAACATAGGGCAGGGAACATGGGAGAGGTGGGGCTGGGAGAGGGGAGGGTTAAGGTCAGACCTGAGAGGTTTCCCAGAAGAAGAAACATTTGTGCTTGCACTTAAGTGGAGGGTTCACTGGGTATAGAAGTGGGGGGAGAGCATTTACATCAGAAAGATCAAAAGAGAGGATGCTTATAATTGCAGAATGTTTCAAGTTCTTTATGTAACAGGGAAAGAATGCTTGTGTACCTCAGGTGGGGATCCGGAAGTAGGAGGCAGATGAACAGACCCAGAGATCTAGGTTAGACTGGAAGATGTGTTGTAGACAACATGAAGGAATATGGATTTAAAAATGAATGAATCTGTAGTTCTGAGCTGTGGTGTCTTGCTCTATTCTGTGATTAATTTTGAGGCATGCTGCAAATACCTTACCAGTAGCAGTAAAGCACAGAGTTTGGGAATAATTTACTTTTGAAATATGTTAGCGCACATGAGAATGTCATCCTCATTCATGTGTGCTTTGATATGCCCTCTTGAGTTGGGGAGGTGGGGGGCAGAGTTACAGCTGGCATTTCTAAATTTGTAAACAGTTCTGGGCACAGCAGTGGATGTGAAAGGGGCTGCTCAGCTAAATAGCATTCATCATCTCTCACGCTTGTCATAATAGGAAGAAAGGACACAAATTGCTGCTACCGGCGGTTGGGAGCTGCTGAGGGTTTTTAAGCATGGAGTGACATGATTAAAACCGTGTTTATGAAAGTAAACTATGGAAATAGGGCATAAGCATAATAATTAGAGATGTCTAGATGGATCAACAGATGGATAAATCATTCCCCAAAGAAAATGTTTTAAATTATTTTAAAGGTGCTTGAATTTCAGGTTGTACTTCATTCATTCTCATCTCAGTTAGAGTGTCTGTTTGGGGGTCATGATTCTGTCCTCATTCGCCAGCTCCTGAAGATTCTGGATGGGCTCCAAGAAAACCTTGAACCTTGCGACAATATAAATGTTTAGAAGCTTTAGTCAGATTCTCGAAGCCCAGAACTACGACAAAACTAGATGGAATTTCTCGAGGGCAGGGATCATGTCTTATTCACTGTTTATTCACCAAGGCTTGCACGGGGCCTACCCTACTGCAATGGCCTGATAAATGCATGAACCTGAATGCTATGCCCGTCTTTCTTGCTTATTATGTTTTCAACTAGCATTTACACAGCCTTATAATCTTATAATTAACTTGTACTACAGCTTTTTATCCCTAGCACTATGCTAGAGACACTGTGAAGCGACTCAGTAATAAAGGCTAATTGGCGAATTATTTTCATTAAATACAATAAATAGATATCATGGTTCCTGGAACCTTTCTGGTCAGTGGTTCACCATCTGGTCCTGGAAGTGAGGTGCTCATGAAGGTGCAGAGATACGAATTCTGATAGAAAATACGCAACGCCCAAAATTAATAGATTGTTCTGGGATCAAATGTGATTTTTTTAAATTGTTGTTATCCTTCACCTGAGGATTTTTTCCCACTGATTTTTTAGAGAGTGGAAGGGAGGGAAGGAGAGAGGAAGAGAGAGATGTGAGCGAGACACATTGATTGGTTGCCCCCTGCACGTGTCCCGACGGGGGCCAGGTAAGTGCCCTTGACCAGAAATTGAACCCGAGACCCTTCAATGCCCAAGCCGATGCTCTGCCACTGAGCCATACTGGCCAAGGCTCAAATATGATTTTAATAAAATATTGGAAGTGTTGTGTAAAGAAGTTTAACCTAGATATGTTAAACTTCTAACCCAATGATCATTGACCTTAGATTGATAAGTGCTTGAAAGTCTACAAAAATCACTATTTTGTCACATAGAAGAATCTTTTTTGGTTGGAGATTTTCAAGAAGAAAATTTCAAGAAGAAAACTCAGTGTAAATATATACACATTTATTTAAAAATATATACTTTTGGTGAATTTTCAAAACAGTACGGTGCTATCTGAGGAAATATGTAAGAGGTCTAACACCGAGCAAATTGACTTTTTTAGTACTGAATCACTGTGAAGGAGAACTGTTTTGTGCATGGCAAGAATGTTTGTAGAAATTATATTAAATTATATTAAATTTCATTAAAAATATAATTGTACATTTATTAAGATTACCTAACCAAGACCTCAGAATCTTCAGGATCTAGGTCTCTGAGTTAACTAGAAATTCTACAATGAAGGAAAACTGTTCTCATCTCTGAACATTAGCTCAGTTAATTGATGTTTTTGCTTCCAGTGTCACCATCTTTTAAATTATTAAGTAGTTAAAGGCTATTAGCTTCAAAATTAAATGATCAAGAATCAAGGCAATAATTTACGACCAGTGGTGTGTGTATATGGAATTAATACAGATGTTTTCCCAATCCCAGCCCACCTCTACATGAGAATCATAGAAGGCTAGAACATACTGGCTCATCCCAGATAATTTTCTTATTTCATAGAAAAGAAACCGTGGGCTTGAGCCAGATTTCAGGCATAAATGTTAAGGATGGTTATTTTCTATTAATAATAATAATTTCTCTAATGAAGAAAAATCTCAAATCCTTATTAAAGAAATTGTATGATAAAATATATTTGGGTTCTAACTTAAACTTAACATTAACAATCACAAAGAAGTTAGAATTTTGAGTTCAGGCTCCTCTTAGCTTTCATTTAAGAAGTGATTCAGTACATGATTAATTAATTCTGTAGACTTACAGTTTTAATTTGAAAATTAAATACACATTTTTTTACACATGACCTTGGGAAGCTATTCCCAACTCCAAGTGTCTGCTGCTCTAAATTCAGATGTCAAAGAATAGGATTATTTCAGAAGAACCCTTGCATTTATTATAAATAAAGGTAAATGTGCAGCCTCATAGTCCACTATAAATTTAGAAAAGTTACTACTTTCAGAAAAAAATTAAACATTACTATTAAAATTGTATCAATAAATCACTAAAAGGACTAATGAATTACACCTTTCCAAGAAAAGATTAATGTTAATGATCAATGCTGCTTTCATATGAAATTATTAATGAGCATTTAAAAGATAAATCATTTATCTGTTACATAAGGACTAAAGGAATTAGATGACGTTGAGAAAAAAATATAATTTCCAACGCAGAACTATGACCTAACCTGAGCATAACTAGGCTCTTCACATTTAATCTTATGGAAAGGATCCTGACGAAATTACTGGAAGACCACAACAAGAACAAAGGGTAGTGGTTGTATTTTCTACAATTGCAAATTCTCATCTAGTGAGGAAAAGATACATTATTTTGGTCAGCGATTGTTATTCATCCGAGGTGCAGGAATAACTATAATTAACTAAAGCATAGGAAAAATATTTACTGATGTCAAAAAGAAAACAAGAACTAATTATAATGTTTCATTTAATGGGAGTGAAGTGAGGAAGAGA